AGCAGTCTGTCCTCTCTTCGCTTTGCCCTTCTTGTTGGACTTTGGCACTGGCTGAGATACATCCGGATGCACAGGGTGTTGTGACTGGATCAGCTGATAAATCAAACTGGGAAACGGCAGGCACAACTTTGAGACAGGGGTCAGACCCATGTTGATGATCAGCTTAAAGACCATCCTCCCAAAATCAAACGGCTTCTGATGCATCACCTTGTAGACCAATTTGGCTCTGTCAGGAGTGACATACCCATCATTGGTTGTAGGCAGCCAGTTGGTACAACAGATCTTGAGAAGATCTTTAGTGTTGTTGTCCTCAACCTTAGACAATTGGAACTGCTTGAAGACCTTGGCTTTACCTCCAGACACAAAGAGAGCTATGTCTGAGGTAATCACTTCAGCCATATGCCGTTGTTCTGTGCGCTCATCCACAGCCGGAAGTCCAAACAACGCATTAATCCTGTCAGGACTAAACTCATACACCCAATTCCGGACCAGCACATCTGCGGAGTCTGTCTCTGGCTCAACAGTTGGCAAATTCGCCCAAAACTCATACACAACTTGGGGATCAAAGGGCTTACTCTCAGATACAGTTCTAAGCAGACCCGCAGCATTTATCAGTTCCCTAACCTCATCAATCTCACAAAAAAGTGATATTCACCTCAGCATGCAGTTTCCGAGAAGTAAAAGAACCATACCTCTGAAATGCAATGACAGACCCGAACCGAGTTTGATCGAATTCCACCGAATGTTCGTCTTTCACAACTGGTCCTTTTCCTCGTGCGGATAAACGTCGCTTCTTCTGCTCAGATGGCATCGTACTCGTCTGCGCGCGCTTCAGTACCCGAGACGAGACCGATGGCCCTGTAGTTCCGGTCACTTGAACCGACTCGGAACCATCGGAGATTTCTTCAATCAGCAGATCGGGGATCGGATTGCAAGGTTCAGTCGGCTGAGATCTTTGGGGGTTAGCTGAAGAGTCGCAGTCTCCATCAACAGCCATTGGAGATTTGGGAATCGGGAGCGACTCGATCTCTTGGTTCTCGGATTCAAGAAGAATGGCCGAATACGGAACCAACTGATTGTTGGGTTCCGTCGCCTCAGAATTCTGGGGGCTGGGGACCCGTTCTTCGTCAGTCGGAGATGGCTGTGTCGTCGGAGAAGACTGTTCTGGCAGAGGCGTATCGGGCTCCGGCGACTGGCTTGACACAAGCTTCGTGATTCCGCTGAAGATGGACCTCATGATGAATTTCTTGCTCGATTTAGGGTTTTGAACTCGTGTACTTGAGAGAGAAAAGAACAATGAGCAATCTCGAAACTTTTCAACTTCCACGACTAGGTTTTAACCCTAGTTTTTCCCTCCTAAACACGCTTATCAACATCATGGGCTTTCAAAACAAATGGGCCTTGCTGATATAACTTTAATAACCCACGAACCTGAAACACTTAATAAACCCATTAGTGCACACTTATCAACCAAGTCTTAAATCCGATTTTCAACCCATTTTTTTCACATTCTTGAGTTCAACCCAGAACCTCAAATAACTTTCTTTTAGCAAGACTCAATTTACTCATGAACATGCATTAGGGACCCAGAATGATAATCAACATGTGAGCACTTGGAAGTATTATTATAAAATCATTCAAAATCATGTACCTTGAGTCTCTCTCTCTTCTGTATTCTGTGCCAACCAATTGTTCAGGACAGAGCCAGAAGCTACCACAACCTTCTGAATCTTCGACAGATCAGATCTGAGTTCAGTGGCTAGTCTTTCACTCTGGCATACCTTCAACTCAAGCTTCCAAACCCAACATGAACAGGCAGCTGGAATACCCTTTGGAGAGTGCAGGACCAGGAGTGTGTTAAACCTTTTTCTCCTTTTTTCTCCTTTTTTTTTATTTTTTATTTTTTACTTTTTTTTTGTTTAATACACTACCTGTAGAGCTATGATTTAACAGTCAGGCAGAGCCTTCTCTCAGAACGTTGATTTTTGACCAAGCCTCTGTTAAACCTTCTGATTTGTGGATCAGTGATATCACTTGACTTCTCAACCACTGATCCTTGTGCATGTCTTCAATAGCATATTCAGAGCTCCATTAATAGAGTACTGGAATTGACTTATTGATGTATCACAATTCCAAGTACATCTCGTGACATGCACACTTCCACCTCTCCTCAGCTCTTTGACCTCCGTTATCACGACAACGTTTTACAGGAATGTCCACAAGAGTTGGCATGACAGGCAGCTATTTTCCACTCTCTTTAAACCGAAGTACAAGATGTTGATCTTCTATTCATTCTTAGGATTTCCATGGTCTGTTCTTGCTCTAGTCCCTGTCTTAGATCAGCACACCTCACTGAGAAAGTTAGATCTCACAAATCCCAATGGATTTTCTCAGATTCACGAATCTATTAAAATCCAATGGTTTAGTAAACAAATCATCCAGTTGAAATTCTGTACTCACATGATCAACCACAATCAGTTTCGCCTCAACAAGTTCACGAATAAAATGATGCCTAATATCAATATACTTAGTACGTGAATGTTGAACAGGATTCTTAGCTATGTTGATTGCACTTTGGTTATCACAATGAATTAAAAGAGTTTCAGAATCCATACCATAGTCAGCAACCATTTGTTTCATCTACATGAGTTGAGTGCAGCAGCTTCCCAGTGCAATGTACTCGGCTTCTGCTGTTGACAGAGAAACACTGTTCTGTTTCTTGCTGTGCCATGAAATCAGGTTGTTGCCCATGAAGAAACATCCACCACTTGTGCTTCTACGATCGTCCAATGAACCAGCCCAATCAGCATCACAGTAGCCTGTCAAGCTCCTGGTTGTATCCTTGGTGTAGTATATCCCAAGATTTACAGTCCCCTTGATATACTTGATGATCTTCTTAACAGCCAACAAATGAGACTTCTTTGGTTTGGCTTGATACCGAGCACAGATTCCAACAGATAAACAGATGTCTGGTCTGTTGGCAGTTAAGTACAACAGACTCCCGATCATTCCTCTGTAAACTCGTTCATCAACATCCTCTCCTGCTTCATCCTTTGAGAGCTTGTTAGTCACACTCATTGGAACCTTCGCCTCTTTACTCTTAGCGAGACCAGAACATTCAACTAGATTCTTGGCATAGGTGCTTTGTGAAACAAATATTCCATCTGCTGATTGTTTCACTTGCAGCCCCAAGAAATAGTTTAACTCCCCACACATGCTCATTTCAAATTCTTGAGTCATGTTCTTCACAAACTGATCAACTAGCGGCTGACATGTGGATCCAAAGACAATGTCATCAACATATATCTGACCAAACATCACACCATTGTTATCTTGAAACACAAACAGCGTTTTGTCTACATTCCCACGCACGTATCCTTGTTTGATCAGAAATGTTGTCAGACGCTCATACCAAGCTCTTGGAGCCTGTTTCAGTCCGTTGTCCTTCTTTAGATTGTACACATGATCAGGACGCTGTGGATTCTCAAATCCTTTAGGTTGCTCTACATACACTTCTTCTTGGAGAATTCCATTTAGAAAGGCACTCTTAACATCCATCTGATGCAATGTGAAATTCAGAGCACATGCCATGCC